CGCTTTGTGCCGCTTTGGAGATTCAGCCGTAGACTAAACAGCCAGCTGACAGAGCTGCCTCCAGCTGGGCATGGGGGAGGGAGGGATTGGGGCTGGGGCTGGGACAAGCTGCACAGCTGGGGTGTGCGGGGTGTTACTCAGGGAGGGGAGTGGGGGCGGGGCGGGGGATGCAGGCGCAGTAGCACTGGGAGTTGGGGCTCTGCCCTGCTGCCACTTGCCCAGCCGGTTGTGGGGGCACAATGCAGGCATGGCTCGCTCTGGGTGGAAGGGGGCAAGCAGCAGCAGGGCATAGCCCCCACTCCCAGCGCTACTGCACTCGCATCAGTGCTGGGAGCAGGGGCTGTGCCCTGCTGCCGCTTGCCAGCCAGCATGGAAGGGTGCAAGATGCAGATGTAGCAGCTGGAGGCAGATGTGTCAGCAGCCTGTTTAGTCTATGGCTGAATCGCTGAATCTTTTTCTGAATCGATTTGGATATTTTGAATCGATTCGGAGTATTTAATTGGTCTCCTGATTTGATTCTGATTTGGCAATTTGGTCACCAAATTGGGCCAAAACTCCTCCGAATCAAGTTGAATTGGCTACTGAAGCTTTGCACAGTCCTACTAACTACCTCTCTCTTATTGCTTCCTCTTTTCCGCTCTGTAAGGAGCTTCTCTCTCATTCTTCACCCAAGTTGCCTCATCTCCACGCTCTTGAGGGGGAAGTGGAATAGTACCAAACAACACAGTTTCCTGGGAGCAGACTAAGGATGCCCAACACCCTCAGTGCTGGTGTCTGTTTCTCCACAGAACACATGCAGCCTGGGGGCTGGCAATACAAATACACCACACATGCTGGCATATTCCAGGAAGCCTCACCCTTGCCTGTAAGGACAACTTTTAGGGATGAGTGAAGCATTCAGTTTCCACGGTCTGCTCACATCTTGATCTCTCTGCAGAGGCTGCCGAAGAGGGGACCAAACTGGTCCCCTCTACTGTTTGTTCTGGTGCTTTTTAAAGCTTCAAAGACCATTTTAGAAGTAGGTAGATCAAAATCATCCACCACCTCCTCCTGTGGTAGGCAGGGCAATCCAAAGCTTTCTGAAGCAGAGGACCCTACTTTATATTTTATGCAACTACTACTACTACTATTCCCTGTCAAAAGTATTTGTGCAAGTACTTTGTGTTTAGACTCTAGTCTTTGCTTTGGAAGTGTAAGACAACTTGCCAGTTGGCAAGTTGTCTTACACTTCCAAAGCAAGGACTAGAGTCTAAACCCAAGGGAACCAAAGGGGATCTCAGGATTTTTTGTGTGGGGGAATCCTGCAGTTGAAGAAGCACCAATACGATCCTCCCCATAGCATTCTGTCTCACGCACATGGTCAGCATTTCTCTATGAACAGGCAGTCCCTACCCCCTGAATTGGCTTAGAAGGCCATAACTGACTTCTGCCTTGGATAGCTACAATGATCAACCTCAGGTTTCCAAAGTCTGCAGCCAGAGCCCACTTCTGACAGGATACACAGCATAAGCCTTTTACAACTTGATGGGAGAACCTTCATGGTATGGAACATTCCACTATTACAAAATGTCATTATCTTAATAAAAGGGGTAGAGGTGTGATTTTCACAGACCAACTGGGGATGGTCCAAAAACAACCAATTATCCTTGTTTCCAGGGAATTAGAAAGATTTTAGGGAACCCTTGATGCATATTTTACTTGAACAATGTACATTGAAGAGAGTGGAATGCCAAGACAGTGGAAGAAATGGCTCCTTTCCAGCTTGTTAGACAGTAAAATCAGAGGAGCCTCTCATGAACTCAACTATCAGGCTAAGTCAAAGTATTATCTTAATGCACTAACCAAAAAGGAAAGAGTAATGGACTATTAATTGTGTTCTCCATAGTGCTTCCTCTTTTACATCCTATAGAGGATGATTCAGGTAGCTGGTGCTGTAGCTCCATCTACCAGGCTACACGGAGGCAAGATAGACTGTCAGTCACAGATGGTGTAATTAATCCCCATAGGTAGTATAATTAATCCCTCCCATCAGCTTCAAATTTTCCTCAGTCAAGATTATTCTGAAGAGAATAATACATAAAAAGCAAGAAACAAAAAAAAGAAACTGAGATGGGGAGCGATAATGGGAGGAGAAAGGAATAGAACAAAAATTTACCAGTGAATGATTTTTTCATGTTGTACATTTCCTCTTCCCCTCTGCTAAAAAATATATATATATATATTCAGAACAACTGGTGAATGTAGCAGGCAGAATGAATACAAATTGGCTTACTTTAAATAGCAGCATGTAGGACTTAGCCAGCCTGCTTCAGATGGTGAGGAGAGATAAGACTCAGATCCTGCAACGAACTTTGTGCAGACATCTGCCTATGCAGTGTATTTCAGGACTGGAGCTGTAAAGCGGTGTTGTCCAACTTTTACATGGCTGAGGCCACACTAGTGTAGGCCACATGCCCTCCTACCTTCACACTGCCTGAGTGCACCCCTCTATTGTGCCACGGGCCACCTGGCCATGCATACAGACACACTGCTCTCCCACCCCTTGCTGTGTTTTTCTATGCTGTATGTGGATACTTGCCCTCCCACTGTGTTCTACCATGATGAATTCATGAGTGCTTCATCTTTCCCCTCTGCTGTAACATCACGCCATGTGTGGAGCACCCCCAGCTATACTAGGCCACTCAGTGCTGTGTGTGAGTGATGCTTCCTTCACAGCACCGCATGTATGCCCCCAACACCTGATCCCCGCCCCAGCTGTCCCAGGCTGCAGGCTACACTACCAAAAGCTGGAGGAAGGGAACCTAGACACTCCCTGGAGCAGGGCTGGATTAATGGATAGGCAAACTAGGCACATGCCTGGGGCTCTAAGTGAAGAAGGGGCCCAGCTGTGCTTATTTTGCTGTGACAGTGCCACCTGGCTCCTTTTTCCTTCTAGGGCTGCATGCTGTAGCTCCAAGCCCTGGTGGTGGTGGTGGCTGCTGCTGCCGCCCTATGCAATGCAACTAGGTGCATAGTTTGTTTGCCTAGGGCCCGTTAAGGGATCAATCCGGCCCTGGCCTGGAAGCTGCAAACTGGGCCTTCATGGGTTGCATGCAATGTGGAAGCTGCCAGTTAGACAGCCCTGATGTAGAGAATAACAGGTAATGAATTAATATCCACATTATAGGAATGCTTTTAGTAGAATGTCCACTATATAGATGGAGGTAGTGCTTTTGTTGTCAAAACAAATTTAAATAATACTTGATCTAGCCTGAGCCTGTGGCCTTGGGAGCTGCCCCAGTTCTCCTTTGGGGCTTGCTAACAGAGGGACAGGTTCTTAGCTTTCCTAAAGAGCTTGAAAATATCCTTCTATAGTATATAAGTTAGCAACCTGCTGTGTCTTGGGTGTCTCAAACTCAGAATAGGGAAAAACTGGTAAAATGGCTATGACCTTGAATTTCAATGAAAAATTTAGGGGCAGAATCCAGAAATAGGGAAACCCTTGGACTCAAATTATGACTTGCACAAAAGAGCCCTCTGAGTGTCAACAGACCTATATTTGGGGTTTTGGTAACAAAGACCTCCCTCTGAAAAATATATTGTAGATAGGTAGGCCTTGTTCGTGGGGTTGTGGGTATCTGAGATCATCAGAACTGAAATCCAAGACATATACAGAAAATGGGCAAATGTCTCTGTAAGAATGCTGATTTGGTAAAAATATTCTGAATGCTGGTATTGAAAGCCACTTGCAAAATACCTGGAAGAAGCCTTTTTTATGAATAGCCCCATACACCTACTAATCCACAAGATTCAATCAGGAAGGAATAAGAAAGCATTAATTGGCTAAGGTACAATGATTTTGGATAGGGGTATAGGAGGCTGACCATCTGAGCCTTTCAGTTTAACTTTTTAAAGATGTTACTTGCACCATTATTTCACAGATGTGTTTAAGAAAGACCCCATACTTTAAATTTCTCCATTTCAAATTTGCATGAGTATGACTAGCCTATGGTATTAAATTCAATGATAAGGTACAATGATAATAGCAAATGGATGATCATTTGCAACAGTAAAAGGCAAGAATGAATGAAGTTCTGCCAGTCTGCTGTGTGTGTGCCTGTGTGAATGGGGCTGTGTACTGACCATGTCTAAATGTGAATGGGATCATTTGCATTTGTGAGTGGCAGAGGATGAGGGAATGAATAGGGTATGCTTCTCAATTAAATGAGGGAATGAGGTTAGCCTGCATGAAAAAGTTAATTCTGCAGAACATAAAGCTGTTTTTTTGGGGGGGGGCGGGGGGAGTGGCAGTGGAATGACTCAAAGCATCCCCAGACTGCATGAATCAATCTTGGTAATGAACAGACCTTTAAAAATGCTTAAACTCTGTTAACACTACTGAGCAGAAACACAGAGGCAGAATGGATAACAGAGGCATTATGATGTCCCAAAGATAGCTTTCTCATCGCCAGAGGAGGCTGTACCTCTTGGGAGTCCAATAAATATTACATTTGAGCATCCTACATTTCTAATCACTTCTAGCGTCCAAAAGCAGATATTCACATGCTCCCTCTGTCTTCAGTCCCTGCGTACCCCTCCTAATGGATTCCAGAGTTCAGGAATGACTGATGGAGCCTGGCTCAGCATTTCCATCACTGCTTGCTTTTGCATTCATTATCCTTGAGAATCCAACCAGCCTCATTACTAAGTGACCATCTTGTAGAAGGAGAGGGAAAGCTGGCTGACTCCATGAGAGCAAAGGATGAGGCTGTAGGGAGTCTGTTTCCCTGGAGATAACATTATCTGATTTATTTTTTTTTAAAGAAGAGTGAATTTAGTACTAGTGAAAAATGCTGGACTGAAACTCTGGAGAACAAAGACCTTTATTTAGTGCCCAGAGGCAGTACAGGTTGTAATGGTCCAAACTTTCTGCACAATGACCCACCCAGACCACCTTTTGTAGAGAGAGGGCAGGGCAGAGTTCTGTCCGCATGCTCCCTTTCATTCTTCATCTCCTCTCCTGGGGCTACCAACAGCAGTGTCATTTACTGCCAGTGTGGGAGAGGGCTCTGTAATGCCAGCAGCTATCTTCTGAGAATCTGAATTGAAAGAGAGGCCAACCAGGTTATGTTGTCTGTTGGGTAGAGTCATTAATTGGGAATCAATTATTCCCATTTCTCCCACTGACTTAGCATGCCTTGATTCATTCCTCTGGAAAATAGTTGTAACAAAGCTAAACCTCAGAATCACACAGCTAAATTATTACTCTTTGCAAAGATGCTTTTTGCTGCATGAATGGAAGGCACTGTATCAATGCAATATATTATTATAATCTCATTCAGTGGAGAGTTAGCAAATACCTTTCAGTCACTTCTGACCTGAGTCTGGTTGAAACTTGTGACCTAAAGGTGAAGACTTGGTATTCTTCGACTCATCCAGTTCCCTGAAAAAAAAATGGATCAATATTTTTCTAGGAAGGCTCAAGTGGTAAAGATGCTCTCCTAAATTGCAATTTAGTCCTTTTTTCTACAACGAGTTAAAGCAGCACCAAATACTACATGTACCCGGAGCCCTACTGCTAAGGTTGTTTTGTTTTACACCCTCATTTTCCTTCAGCACCCTGCCACCCAACTGTTCCCCCGTTGCCATGTGAAAGATCCACATAAATAACAGTGGAAGCTGACTCATTGACCATGCAAGGGAAAGAATGAAGCCTGTTATACAGATTGCTGGAGAATGTGCAAGGTAGCCCAACTGAAAAATGCAGAACAATATATTATTTTTCTCCCATGTTCAATTATAGTCATCATAGATGCTACATGTAACAAATGGATTTTTGCATTTTCAGACATGAGCTTGGCAACTGATGACACTCAGTAAAGGGGAAAGTGGCACAGAAGAGAACTCACTCCTCCCCAAATTCACAGAAATAAAAAATTGTCCATACACTATTTGAAAAAAAAAATGCAATGATACATGTGTGAGGACCTCGGCAGAAATCTTATGTCCCATTTCATTCATGATTATACAGATAACCTCTTTTCCTGTTCATTATCACATAATATCCTTGTGGCAACCAGAATACATGTTGTAGGAAATGGTTAAGATATGGTTTAACTACTTTAATGCACTGTGGATCTTGGCTGTTTAGTGGGGGGAAAAAAGCACAGAGCATCTTCATTGGCTCTTACTTCAATCTCTCCTTCACATATGTTATGTTCTTCTTTCTGTTTCTGCTTCCTTGTCAAGTGGCCCTCCTTTACCCTTTCCATGCTTCCCGTCTGTTTGATGCCCTTCTCCATGGGCATGCTGCTTTCTTTCTCTGAGCCCCTGCTTCTTTGCTAATTCTCTTCAGCTGCCTTTTTCCCTTCCTCCTTGGACAGTCCTTTCTGGGAGGACTGAAACCAAAATGCTTTTACTTCATTTTATCTGTGTTTTTGCAAACTGCTTAAGAAATGCCTCTGGTTAGGTGATAAGTAGAAATGGGTACAATTATTCACAATATCCACAGAAGAGTGATTACTGTAAGTAGAGAAATTGGAGTATTTCTCCACTTGAATTAGGGCTCCTATCCTGAGGTTAACTCCCATCTTCTTATGTAGCAGCTAATATAGTCAGCTAGTGTGTTCCAGCTAATGTTTTGTGTTTTTAATATCATAATAAGCTTGGACATCTACAGGAGCAAGAGTCAACATCATGTGCTATGTGGACCAGACTTTGAGAACTACTGCCTTTGTACCTACTAAATCACAAATACTTCTTCCTTCAGTACTTGGGCTTTCCTTTAGAGACCTGAGGTACAGTCAGAAATTACATTTGTCATGTGATTGACCTCCTGAATATGCTCTACAGCCATGCCCTGACACACATGCATGACTGCAGAGCACTTTATAAGTGGCTGATTGCATGACAAATCAACCCCTATCAGATGAGGAATCAGATGAAGGCGCTCCACTTTTGAGCACCTTAGGGAACTTGTCTTCCCTACGATTAATGTGTGGTGCGATCAGGGCTGGGCTGATACAGTCCAACCCTGCCCTGGTGTTATCTGCAGGAAGGGACCAGGGAGGAGGGGGGAAATCAAGCTGCAACTGGGTTTGCTTGGCCTGAGCTGGAGTGGGGGTGGGTGGATTGAAGCCCCCTTGCCTCCTGGTCCCCTCCTGTAACCCCCCACTCCAGCTCAGGCCAGGCAAACCCCAGCCTGCAGCTTGCTCCCCCTCCTTCCTTCTCTTCCCTTCCCTCCTCCCTTCCTGAAGACAGCTTGATCAGGCAGCCCAACAGGGGTGACTCCTCCACTAGAGGCAGGATCCCCAGGCTTCTGCAGCCAGGCTCTTTCCCCCTCTGTTGGGTCTGTTGGGTTAGGGTAGTGGGGGGTGCTCTAACTCATGGCACTTCATGTAAAGCACCATGAGTTAGAGTGGGAGCCTGCATATCTATCAGCACTCCTGGACAACTCTAACCCTGCTAGTTTAGGTCATATATCAAGATGCTGTGGCTATAAGGCATGAGTAGCTCAGTTTGTTTTTAGGAGATCACAGACTAAGATGATGCAGCTGTAGGCAGCTTGTGTACCTTCTATTCCTCTCTTGGCAATCTTGAAGGCGTCCCTACATTTCCTCTGTTTGTCCTTCTCCCTTACACTGTAATGCTGTAGCTACCTTCACTCCATCTGCAAACTAGATGGGGATTCTCTTTGACTGCTGCTCTTAAACCTGCTTAACCTCTTAGACTGAAGAATGATGCAGGACTTTTCCAGTCTCCTTGTTTCTAAGTCTCAGGGAATCACAAGGAATAGGACTCAGGAAAATGATGAAGACCCTTTATACACTAGTGTAGAACACAAAAATATTGTGTGTACACATGTATTTGTGTGCATATGTGATAGAGGAATGGGGGTGAAGAATATGAAAGATAAAAAGAAGCCCTTCCATTTTTACTATTTAAAAATTGAAATTATAGGATGCCTTATAATATCAGTGGTTCTTGTTCACATGCATAAAGGTATAACTGAGCACAAATTATACCTAGTACAGCAGTCTTCCTCACCAATATGTATTGAAAGGAACATGGGTTGCTGGGACCAGATATAGTTTGTCTTCCCTTTTTTGGGGAAGTAGTGGGGTGGGGGAGGCGCTGACTGACAATTAACCACGTTTTGGATCAGGTGATTGCATTTCTCAGTCAATATCTGAGAGGATACAGGGGACACTTTAGCCCTTGGTTCTCACTACTTTTTTATCTTTAGAAAGGATACATAAAGCTCGTGCTACATAGCGGCCCTTATTTAGAATGAAGGAAAAAAGGCCAACCCTTGAGACAGCTTAATTTGGCACGGTATGTTGCCAGATTCTTTGGGGGATCCTGAGAGAAGAAAAACAAAGATTTTAGATTTGACATTTTTATTTTGGTTCTTCACCAAGGCAGTCAGTTGGTGAATAGTCAAACACCTTCTGTAAGCTACTCCAGGGGGATATTGTCAAAACAGAGAAATAAAAGATCATAAAGAACAGGACAGTATCCCCCATCTCCCATCCCACAGTATAAAGAACTGGGACCAAACTCTGTTCTCATTTGCATGGGTGCAATACCCAACTGACTTTGCTAGGGTTACAGGGGTATAACAGTATTTGAAAACAGAATTTGTCCTCTGCTAGGAAAGAGACTTAGCTTTGCTTTGCCATTGGCTGTAGATATAATATAGGAGAGTAAATTAGCATACATGGGAAACAAGTCAAGCTTTGTGAGGCAGCCTGCTTTCTGAAATTACCAACAATGTGTTGTGATGATTAAAACTAAGTTTTTCTCTTTTTTATTATTAATGTGGTCACTTCTGGGCTTAGTGTTCTTTCTGAAATGATAAATATTGTTAATCTCACAAGAGCTTTTATTGAAAAAAAATAAAAATAAAATATTTTTGACTGAATCTTATTTCTATGGCAGTTCCAATGACTTGAGTCTGTGTCAGTGCCAGCTTATTGCAGCTGATTTTTTCCCTCAGTGAGCATCTGTTTAACAGTTTAGTAGAAATTTAGATATGCAGAAACATTTTAGTGCCCATCAATACATCTTTCCCCACCACAAGGCATGGCAGGATATTTTCATACCTTCGCAATTAGTTTCTACTGTGGTTGGACCATAGGGGCACTACTATGCTGAGCCACCCGCCTCACTATGGCCAACCAAAACCATGCTTTGGGTGTCTCCCCTGGGGTGCCTACGCCTGACTGACCTCCTTTCTGGAGCACACTTGCAAGCCTGGGGTAATCGCTGCCACGACCCAGGCTCTGGTCTCTGTTAGGGCTCTGTGAAGCCCAGGGTAAACAGACCCTCTAGACCTTGGTGGTTCTTATCCCACTGTGGTATTTTGGGGTGCTTCTTTTAACCTGAAGCATTCAAAAGTAGCCTTCTGTACCAGAGAAAAGTAAAAAAGCCAAGCCTGCTTTAGTTAGCCTAGCAAAGGGAGCTAGAAGGCCGGTCCCTTCCCTCTTCCCTCAAGAATCCACAACTAGGCATGCTGTAACAGACAGCATTTATTAACATGAGAGGAAGAGACTGTGGAAAGGGTATAGGATGGAGGAATGTTAAAAGAAAAACACCTTGAGCAAAACAGAATGGGCTTGTTGGCCCTTTTAACACACGGCTAAAGATACATAACCCTAATATACTGGCTACATTTCAGGTAAGTTACTCATATATACATCCAGAGAATGAGAGTGCTTTGGAGATTTTTTGCTCATTTCAGTGTCCCAAAATGACTGACTCCCACAAGATGGAGTGACCCCTTTTATAACCTTTTTTGACGTCATCACTAAGTTCTAACCAGAAACAGGGACTATATGATGCAGACCAATCCTTTTAAAAGTCATCAGAATCCCCAGGAAGAGTGACCAGGGTCACATAGGTTGTTCAGCGGGAAACTCAGGACAAAGAGTGAGCTCTCCCCTCCCTATGTGATTTTTACAACCCAGTCACTCAGGTGACCAGGTGGATCCAGCAGCCAGGGTTTGAAAACAGAGAGGGGCTGGGCAGACTCAGAGCAAGGAGGCAGACAAAACGGGGGAGTTCTTCACATCTACCATCAAAGATTTCATAAAACAAAAAAGACTTTAAATAATTCTTGAATTTGTAAAAAAAAACCAAAAAAAAAAAAACAACAAATGGTGAAACTCCAACTTATTTTGTCATTTTAATAGCTATGGCATTTAGAGCAACACGTTGTTTTGAAATCCTTGTGTGCTTTACCCTCTTCTACTTCTCATCATAGCTTATGTCATAATTTGATCCAACTGATACAACCCGTTGTGACAAGAGACAAAGCATTAGGTCAATTTTTCCCCTAGGTTTACAATATAGTTTATAAAAGTATTATTCATGCCCAAACCCCAAAATAGATCTTAATATTTGGTGAAAAACATGAGCAGGATTGAAAGCAAAGTGCTTTTG